ATGGTTGATTTGTATATTTGAAGTATCGATTCCGGGGAGAAAAATTTCAACCTCGCGGTGGAAGAAGCAATTGACTCAATGTATTTGTTCCATCTCAGGTCAGCAGTCAACGTGAGACCGAGCAAACGCAGGGAGTTGCTCTCAAGAAGTTGACTATCAGACATTCTAATGGGAGGCAGGGAAGGATCTCTATGGTGATTAATAGAGATTAGTTTAGTTTTTGAGGCGTTAAAGTTGACCAGCCAATTCTTGCTCCAATTAACAACCGATTGGAGGTCCATTTCATGACGCACGGCCAAGTTAGTTTTGTCACCGACACTAGATTTGTTTTTGAGGCAGGAATAAATTGTAATGTCGTCCGCGTAGATGCCAACGTGGGAATCTATGGCGTCAGGAAGGTCGTTGATGAAAATAAGGAATAGAGTGGGGACAAGGATGGAGCCTTGGGGAAACCTGCGTTCGTGGGATAGGAACTGGAAGAGAATCCGTTGAGAACGACCTTCAATTCACGGTTTGACAGGAATGATTGTATTAGGTCAAACAATCGACCTGTAATACCATAACCCTGGAGCTTACGAAGAAGGCCGGCATGCCAAACCCTATCAAACGCTTTGTAGATGTCTAGGGCCACGGCACGAGCCTCACCGTTATTTTGAAGAGCTTGGTAGTCGATTTCAGTGATGGCTGTAAGCACATCAGCTGTAGATCAGGCGTAGCGGAAACCATATTGCTTGTCTGAGAACAGATCATGGAATGTAAGGTGGTTAACCACTTCGGCATTGATTAGGGCTTCAAAGACTTTGCCGAAGAGGGATGGGAGACTAATAGGACGGTAATTAGAGGGGTTAGGGGGTTTCCAGAGTTCTTAAAGACAGGAACAATGGATGAGGACTTCCAGCAGTCAGGTAAACAGGATTCCTTGAGGCAGTAATTATATAGTTTAGAGAGGGCGGGCGCTAGCTCAGGCGCGCATTTCTTCAAGACAATGGCTGGTATGCCATCTCCACCACTATCCTTGTGGGGGTCTAAATTGGAGATAATGCCCAATACCAATGACGGGGTTATGGGTTTGGTTTTTGATGTTTTATTAACGTAGTAAAAAAAAAAAAAAGAAAAGAATATATATATATATATATATATATATATATATATATATATATATATAAAGAATAAAAATAATTCAAGAAGGAAAAATATACTTACGTGTGCACAAGGAATAAAAACATTTATACGCTTTGCTCTTAGAGAATATGTGTGTTTGTGTGTGTGTTATGTGTCAGGTGGCTGGCTGAAATTAAAAAACGGCCTGCCGGTGGAAGATATCTCACTCGCCAAAAAGTAGCCCTGCAACATTCCAGAGCAACAACAAAAAAAAGAGTAAGGGTCCCTATTGTCTCATCTTTTTATAGTCCCGGCAATAGAATAGAACGATACCTAGCGGGCATCCTGGCAAGCAAGGTGGAGTAACACCAACAGAGTACAATTTTAACATAATAGCAGATTACGCTAAAAACACGCCATACCTAAACAAATCTACATACATTCTTCGAATCTTTTTGGTCACAGAACATTTCAATTCATTAACCTTTTTGTCAGAGGGTAAAACTGGTAGACTGGGATTTTAACCTTGGGTGGGAACCACTCTAAGAGAAAAAAAAACCTCTGAATTCCTAACCATGGATAAGGCAACAGGAAACCACTCCATTATTTTTCCCAAGAAGCTATGGCAATTCGCAGATAAAAAAAGAAAGGAAATCTCTGATGATGAAGGGTCGTCTACTTCATGAAGGGATTATGGGATTTAAAAAAAGGACAGTGATTAAATACAAAAATGCACTAATGCCCTCATTAGTAAAGATTTAGTCCAGAAAGCGATGATTTTTTTTTTATCGGTCATAAGCTACATTTCAGCCTATTTTTCTAAAAAACAACTTTTATTGTCAAGATTCGAGGTAAATGAATTATTATTTTGTAAAGGATATATAAAGCTTTATGTGAAAATATTACAACTTTATACCCCTTATCACTAACTATGAGCGAAAATTTTTTAAACTTAAAAGCCACCCTATTGGGATGCATTTAAGCTAGCTCCTGCTGAGGACTCTTGATTGGGCCTTCATCACAAGTAGAGGAGTAGATGCGATAGGAAACAATAAACTACAGAAGAACATGTACAGTGTATCACAAAAGTGAGTACACCCCTCACATTTCTTCAAATATTTAAGTATATCTCTTCATGGGACAGCACTGAAAAAATTACCTTTTGACACAATGAAAAGTAGTCTGTCTGCAGCATATATAGCAGAGTTAATTTCTTTTCTCCTCAAAATATAGCCATTAAAAGCTAAATCCCTGGCAACAAAAGTGAGTACACCCCTAAGAAACTACACCCCTAAAAAGTGAGTTCACCCCTAAGAAACTACATCCCTAAATGTCTAAATTGAGTACTGCTTTTCATTTTCCCTCCAAAATGTCATGTGACTCATTAGTGTAACTATACCCATGTGTTCATGGGGAGCAGGTGTATTCAAATTTGTAGTGCAGCTCTAACACTCTCTCTTACCGGTCACTGAAAGTTCCAACATGGCACCACATGGCAAAGAACTCACTGAGGATCTTAAAAAACTTATTGTTGCACTACATAAAGATGGCCAAGGCTACAAAAAGATTGCCAACACCCTGAAACTGAGCTGCAGCACAGTGGCTAAGATCATCCAGAATTTTAAAAGAGCAGGGTCCACTCAGAACAGGCCTCGAGTAGGTCGTCCAAAGAAGCTGAGCACACGTGCTGAGCGTCACATCCAAATGCTTTCTTTGAAAGGTTGGCGTAGGAGTGCTGTTAGCATTGCTGCAGAGATTAAAGAGATTGGGATTCAGCCTGTTAGTGTTCAGACCATACGCTGCACACTACATCAAATTGGTGTGCATGGCTGTCACTCCAGGAGGAAGCCTCTTCTGAAGGCAATACACAAGAAAGCCCGCAAACAGTTTGCTGAAGACATGTCAAAAAAGCCCATAGATTACTGGAACCATGTCCTATGGTCTGATGAGACAAAATTTAATTTGTTTGGTTCTGATGGCCTTAAGCATGTGTGACGGTGACCAGGTGAGGAGTACAAAGATAAGTGTGTCATGCCTACAGTCAAGCATGGTGGTGGGAATGTCATGGTCTGGGGCTGCATGAGTGCTGCAGGTATTGGAGAGTTGCATTTCATTGAGGGAAACATGAACTCCAATATGTACTGTGAAATACTGCAGCAGAGCATGATCCACTCCCTCCAGAAACTGGGTCGCAGAGCAGTGTTCCAGCATGACAATGACCCCAAACACACATCCAAGACAACCACTGCTTTACTGAAGAGGCTGAGGGTAAAGGTGATGGACTGGCCAAGCATGTCTCCAGACTTGAACCCAATAGAACATCTTTGAGCCATCCTCAAGCAGAAGGTGGAGGTGCGCAGAGTCTCAAATATCCGCCAGCTCCGCGACATCTTCATTGAGGAGTGGAAGAGCATTCCAGTGACTACCTGTGAAGCTCTGGTAAACTCCATGCCCAGGAGAGTAAAGACAGTTTTGGATAATGATGGTGGCCACACAAAATATTGACAGTTGACATGTTGTATGTTAATATTGACAACTTTTCCTAAGGGGTGTACTCACTTTTGTTGCCAGGAATTTAGCTTTTAATGGCTATATTTTGAGTTATTTTGAGGGAAAAATAAATTAACTCTGTTATATATGCTACAGACAGGCTACTTTTCATTGTGTCAAAGTGTCATTTTGTCAGTGTTGTCCCATGAAGAGATATACTTAAATATTTGAAGAAATGTGAGGGGTGTACTCACTTTTGTGATACACTGTAAGTATTGCATTGATATTTAAGCTTACCTTTCAAAAGTTTAACAATAATTCTTCTGCCGCCACTAAATTTAAAGACAATTTGATATACGTAGGTCCTTACTTTCCGTAGAAACAATTATTTTTATATCATGTGTGACTTTGGCTGATTTTCGCAATTAATTTCGATTATTCTCAAATTTATTTCTAAGTTATAAAAATTGTTATCCTACAAAATTTTTTATCGTCGCAAAACATCTCGTAAAAAATCGTCGAAAACAATGGCAGTAATGAAAAGTTGGGAATCCAAAATTTTAGGGTTGCGGGTCCGGGTCTGGCCCGGGATGTTTTTAATTTACTCACCGAGTCGGATTGATTCCAAAATGGTGTGATATGTTGGACTACGGCCTCTAGGAATAACGTTAAAAAAAATCTGACACATTGACATTTGCATTTATTATATAGATGAAGTGTTCGGACGGGGCTTTTCTTGATAAACCTTGATTTTGAACCTGTTTATGGCGACACACTGCATGATATTAACATTTTTTTTTATTTCTATTTTTTTTTATTACTTTCTGTTTTTCTTTCCTCGTTTTGGCCTTTTTTCTTCCTTTTCATATTCATTTCTTGCATTTATATTGTATATCCTTTCCTTCTAAAACTTTTCTTTTTCTCTTTCTTTTTCTATTTATGTTCTTTTTTTCATTCTTTCTTTGTTTTACAATAGACAAACGAATCACACATCTGTTAGTGTTACCCACCGAATAGTGTTTTTCCAGGCAAGATCCGAACTAAAAGAATCCGGGGATCCCTTCAGAAAGAGAGGCAGCAAAATGTCTTCATCGGGGATAAAATACACCTGCGTACCTGGAGACCTTTTTCTTTTTTTCTTTTTGTGTGTGTGTGTGTGTGTGTGTGTGTGTGTGTGTGTGTGTGTGTGTGAGGCCTATCGAAAGAAGGGCACATTAGTCAACCACTCTACTTAACAAAATTACTTCACCAAATGTACTAATATCTTCACTCAGTTTTGCTCCACCCAAATAACCCCACCCTCAAATGATATATTTTCACTTGATCATGACCAGTGTTTTAGAAAGAAATCAGAAAAAAAACATGCAGGAGATATATACACCTTATTTTTAATTTGGTCTTTGTTTAACTATTTTGATAGATAGATAGATAATGAAAAGAATCAGATAGATAGATAGATAGATAGATAGATAGATAGAAACAGACATATATAGATAGATATATACATAGATATATACATAGATATGTCTTCAGGCCACCGTGGTTAACATCTAGCTGACTTCTCATTCGTTAACTCCTTACTGATTTCTCGCTGGCATTGTGTTGACGAGCACGGTTCGACTCGATCTGTTTATTGTCTCCTTTACGACCCTTCACCCCTCTGCCACTTTGTGTTTTTCATCTCAGAGGGTGTGAAAATCGATGATGAAGTAAACTGAATCGAAGAACAGGTTGACGGCGAGGAGCTACACAAAAAAAAAATATTTCTTTGGAATAAAGAATCAATTCGGGTTAAAAAAAAAAAAAAAGTAAAAATGATTTGATTTATATAGGATTTGTTGTATACAGCGGTTTTAACCTTTCCCACTTACTGTTATAATCAAATGACACTCTGTTCACATCCCCCTTTTGGAGTTTACAGCCTGTGTTTGTAGTAATTTAAATTTCTAAGTTGTGATCTTCAGGGCTGGCACAAAGTCTTGGTCAGGAGGTCTCGGCAAACGATGTGGATTCCAGTAGCAGTAATGTGGGGACTTTTCAAGTTGTCCAAACCCCCAGCTTATATGGAGTCTTGCGTCCGGCAGGTGTGAGGTTGACCAGGGTCTGCGGTTCGGTTATCTGCCACCTTTAGCATCAATCTTTTTCTAAAATCCCATATTTTCAAAATATGTTTACTCGAGTAAATTTCCAAAATTAGGGATTGTCCAGCCCCCTTTTTCAGAGTAGTCAGAGGAATCAAGCCGCCCCTTCACTCCAACTCCCTTCACGTCTCATCTCGCACCATATACTCGGCGCTATTCTCTCTCTCTCTCTCTCTCTCTCTCTCTCTCTCTCTCTCTCTCTCTCTCTTCCACTTTCTCAGCATCCAAGTGCTGGTACACTCTGTTTGTGACGAATCTAAACTTTTAGAATGCGTAGGCGAAAAGATGATTTCCAGTAATTAATCATTTTTTTATCAGCTTGTCCCACGCTAGTTGTTTTAGATGATTTCTCCATCATCCAGGCCACACAGCCGGCCGCCTATGGTCTATACAGGGCTAGTAATTAATTTTTCTTTATCACGTGTATGCAAAAAAATCCAGAATAATGTCGGCTATAAAAATTTTGACGAATGTCACAGAAATTAAGATGAACGACCCCGTCTCCAACCTTAGGCGCCAATCACTATTTTTGTAGGGATATTTTTCTTCTGGGTGGACGATTCTAACCAGATGTCTTATTGGCTCTTTGCCCAGGACAATTTTAGATGTTATTTTGGTGACCACCCGTTTTCTTTATCGACAACATGTGTTTTCTATTTTCCAGGACCGACATCTTCGATAATACATTAATTGCCTCTTTCTTATCTGCGGGAAGTGCGGAAGGACGAGTCGTCTTGGTTTTGCTCAATCTCACTGAATTCCGTCCACAGTTAAATTTGGTTTTGATTCTCCTTCGAACTGTTCTTCATTTCATTTTATTATTTTGAAACATAATTTTTCAACGCATTTTGTTTTGAATTTCCTTCTCAACGTTTCAATCCACTTTCCTGCGTATTTCAACAATTATCATCCAATTATTAGTCTCTTTCATCTTCCTTTTTCTTTTTTTCCCTTTATTTTATCTGATTAACTCCCTGAGATCTTAATGTCACAGATAGATAGATAGATAGATAGATAGATAGATAGATAGATAGATAGATAGATAGATAGATATGAGCAAGGGTAGATATGAACAGGCTGAAATAACTGGTAGATAGATAGATAGATAGATAGATAGATAGATAGATAGGAACAGACGGAGATAGATAAATAGATGAATGAACAAGTGTAGATATGAAAAGACTGAAATAACTAGGAGATAGGTTGATAGATAATGAACAGAATGAGATAGATAGATAGATATATAGATAGATAGATAGATAGATAGATAGATAGATAGATATGAAAAGACTGAACTGGAAGATTGTTTTCGCATAGTCATGTTTTCAACTTCTCTCGTGTTTGGCAGCTGGAAAAACCTATTCGTTACGTCTTTAGCGACAAAATTTGTTTGCCAAAAGAGAAATATTCCCACCCGCGAATATTGACGTAGCTGTATTTTGTCGACTGTGGTGCTATTCCGAAGAATCCAGATTGACACTGCCGTCCTATTTTAAACAAGATCTTCGGATCGGGGGGTGGTTTGAATAAATTGTAGCAAACAGAAAGCCTTCCAAAGAAACTATATGGCGCAGATCATGCTGAAGATTTTTTAAGTATTTAAAAAAATACTTTCAGTCTGAATTTCTGGGATGGGGAGTTAATATTTACACTATTTATATCTGGACTGTTGTCTTCATCTTTGTTGTTGTTATCACAATGTTTCGGCCGCTGTGCCATCCGGTTTAAAGTGTTTGTTCGTTAATTTAGTGGCAAATTAATTCATTAAATAGATTTCAATTCCTTCCTCTGGACAGTTCATACTTGGACTCAGTGAAAACGCGCGAGCAATAACTGAGCCGTACAAAAAGTAAAAACATGAGCAGTGGAACGAGAACAGTCCACTCTCGTAGATTAAATAAAGGGTTCAGTTCAGAATACCCTGTAGGTTATCCAGATCGATATACACCTGAGGAAGGCCAGAGAGCACAATGGTCGAAACGTTGTGATAGCACCAACAAAATTGAGGACAATAGTCTGAATATAGTGTAAATAAAAAATATATTTATTAGATTGAGTCATAAATAATTTCCGTTTTTATTTATCCGTTTTGTTCTTCAAAACTGAAGTAAAATTACATTTTATTCAACTATATAATCACCATTATTTGAAATGACTTGTTACCACTTATCAGGGAGTTATTCGATATTCTATATAGCGTGACTACTGTTGCTTCCGATTTCGTTATCCTAATTTACCCAGAAGTCGTCCCGCCAAAACTTGCTTCTCAAGGTGCGGACAGACCTTCCGGAACTATTGTATACTTCCTACAAATATTTTCATTTAGAAATATTTTCTTTTAAAGATTCCTTTTCATTATTTTTTTATTTTTTATTTATTTATTTATTTATTTATTTTTTTGGAAAGGCAGTGTTTTTAAATTCTTCAATTATTAGGTCGAGTCATAAGTAATTTCCTTTCTAAGGAACCAATTCTAACGACGAATGCATCATTCTCACAAACCGTTCCTTAAATATATCATAGAAGGTGATGAAAAGTGGATTGCATACAACAATGTTTAACGTAAAAGTCAGTTCATTGACAACCGAACTCAATAACTGAGCTCCATGAAATAAAGTAAATGTTGTTTGCGTATGGTAGCATTGTTGGGGTATAATTCATTTAGATCTCTTAAAATGGAATGGACTCCTAAATGTACATGTATACGACCAGCAGCTGCAACGGGTCTATATAAATTTGGTCGAAAAATGCGCTGCTATCGTTAATAGTAAAAATGTTTTTCTCAATAGCGGCGAAAAACTGTATATAACAAAAATATTATAGGAAAAAAATTGGAAAACGGTCTGTACTGCGCCACTTGCTATATTCACCGGAACTCACCCTGACCAATTATTAGATTTTTCCAACGGTACAAAACGCTTTAATGGTGAAAAAAATCCCTCATGGAAATCAGATTAAACTGTTCGGCGAAAGCTTATTCGCATCAAAACCCTTGATGAGAAAAAAGCTTCCAACAAACAAAAAGTTTTCTCCAAACAAATTTGATGATCGCCTAGGACAGTTGTTCCCAAACGGCGTCCTTCATAGGCGGGAGAGTTTAGCAGGTTTGGCAGAAGAGGATAGCAGGTGAAGCGGAACAAAAATTTAGAAACAGTTTTAAAAATTCATAGACCAAAAATAAATATTTTAAATAATATTATGTAATTGCATGCATGAGTCCCAGTATAAATAGTTATAAATAATTATTGACCGATTTTATCATTGTGATATTGTTGCATTATATCAAGTATTAAGAATATAGTAACTGGGGTCCGCAATTTGAAGGAGAGAATTATCAATGATAATGTTCTGACTTCGAATCCACGGTTATCTCCCTTTAACCCTCTTTCTGTTTTTTTATTTTTAAATTTACTTTTTTATCACATAAAATTTGGTGAGGCACAAGCAAATTTTCATTTCGAATGTGGCTCAGAGAAAAAAATGTTTGGGAACCACTGGCCTAGGGAGACGCAAACGCCGAGTACTCCAATGGATGTATATGCAACACGTACAATTATCAAAACGATTTGTTCAACTTCTGGTAGAACGTTAAAAATTGTTATCAATTTTAGATAAGTATTTCTTTTCCGTCTTAATTTCATGAGCTTTTTATTGCAACTTCCCGAACTGGTATCTTATCATCGTTAGTTGGTGGGTCGATTTTATTTAGTGCCATATCAACCTCTATGGAACATTTAATGCCGAAACCTAAATATTTTGTATGTAATTTTAGGCTTACAACTACAGATATTTTGTAGAAAATTTTATGCTCTCAGAGTAAAAGGTACGTTTTTTAGATAGATAATTTGTAGGTCCTAAAATGTATTGTTGGTAATTTTATTATAAAAATGTATTTTTATATTTTTAGCCTTCCATAGTTATTTTACTATAAAAATGTATTGTTGGTCATTTTACTATAAAAATGTATTGTAGGTCATTTTACTATAAAAATGTATTGTAGGTCATTTTACTATAAAAATGTATTGTTGGTCATTTTACTATAAAAATGTATTGTTGGTCATTTTATTATAAAAATGTATTGTTGGTCATTTTACTATAAAAATGTATTGTCGGTCATTTTACTATACAAATATATTGCTGATTTTTGTTTGGGGTTCACTATTTGCCCATAGCATTTCAGTTCAAGTTGAACCTGGGAAGAACAACAGTTAAGAGGTGGTTCCACCCTCCTCATAACCTCCATTCTCCCTCATCAGAGGTCCTATGGTCGTCAGTAACGAACAACCAACCAATTTCCTTGGACCCAATGTCTAACATGTTGGATATTCATTTTTCGGTAGAGTCATCTTTATTTGTAAAAATCTATAGTGTTTTTGTTTTACAGACATGATATCTACACACCATGTCTAAACATCTTTGACGGGTTTTGAATTCAAAGTTGTCTTTCTATTAAACTGGTTGACAACCAAGGCTAGAGAGCCCAATTTTCCCTGTTATTTAATCCATAAAGAAGACATGGTTTCATTAATTAATGAATTTTTATAATCGGATATAATGTCTTATTAGGATAAATGTTCCTAGAAATGTTTTAAGAGATGACGGAAAACGCGACACCGAAATCCGATGGCGCATTAGAAAAGCGAAAGATGCCTTCACAAAGCTAAGGAAAGTATTACGAAACAGAAAGATTTCGTTAGAAACAAAGAAAAGAGTTCTGAATTGTTATACAATATCAATCCTCTTATATAGCAGTGAATGTTAGACAATTTCCACATAGAAGTGGTGACTTGAGGTAACGGAAATATGGTTCTACAAGAGAATGTTGAAGAATGCCATAGACAGAACATGTGAGCCATGAGGAAGTTTTAGGGCAAATGGAAACATAAAAGATAATATAAGAAAAAGGCAGTTGAAATTTCTGTAACATAATGAGGAAAGAGGACTTGGGGAATTTAACACTCACAGGATATATTGAAAGCAAGAGAGTCAGAAGGAAAGAGGGAGTAACCTACGTAACACTCTTGTCTCAATGGATGGTAAAAATAGGGACTGGGAGAGATATTAAAGAGGCAAATATTACTACAAAGGATAAGAAGTTGTGGAAAGCAATGATAGCCCACGTTCTGAAGAGACTTAGTGCATAAAAGATGATGACAAAGAATACTAAAGTTTATATTCATTGAGTACATGCATTTGAATAAACATCCTTGTTTTGTTGTTATAATGTTGAAATTAATACCTACTAGCCTAGAAATCAAAACTCTTATTAAAGAAAATGTCGGAAGGTATATTTTCTTTAATAAGACTGTCAACCTCTTGCCGATAGATATTAATTTCATTCTTTAAAAAAAAACAATGATGTCTACTCAAACACGTATACTCACTCAATATAACATTTATAAGAAGAAACTAACAATAACCTGTAAGATTAGCTAACTATCGCTCTACAGCAGGTACCTTTTCAAGAGACAATGATGTGTGTTTTTATGCGCAACAAATTACGCAGCACTTATTTCGATTAACCACATTACTTAGAACGATTAAGTTGCTACTTTTTTCAAAATTCATCTAAAACAGTAAATTGATTAGCATGTTAATTAAATGAGAGTTTTTCAAACCTTATAAATTGGGTAGAAAGAATTAAATCGAATGTTAAAAAAAATGAAATGATGCAAATGTATTATTTATTATGAATTTATATTTAATTAAAACTAAATTTATTATAGACAAATGCAAATTATTAGAGTTATTAATTAAATATAAATTTATTCGACTATGGAAGCAGACGTTTCTTTCCTTGGTCTTTTTCGCTTCTTCCATCCAACAAATGATATCTTGCAATACTTCCATTAATTTTCTTTCTTTAAAATGTTAAGAGTTTTGAGGTCTTCGTGAACGTTTATTTTGTTTTTATTGAAGAATGTTGATCTGAAGATGACAAAGATGACATTGAATAATTCAGTTAAGAAAAAATTGTTGCCATTTTTGTTAGCAATGAAACAATTTGAAATGTTTTTTATTAGTTATCTTCCAACTGATAAAAGGTTACAAAATTGTTTAAAACAGTTTTAGTAGGTAATCCGATGGCGCATTAGAAAAGCAGTGACCGATGGCTATAAAAAGGCATTGTTGATTATTTATGGCTAATTTGTTTAAATAATGACTGACTATTGTTTGAGTCATGTGACAATAATTGTAAGTAAACTGATACACATACTAAAATAAGTAACCTAGTAATCGTTTTAGGTTATCAATACCGTTTTAATATCTTTATTCTTCTGCCCATTTATGTCAT